AACATCTCAACCGTCATACTATGCTACGAGTACCCCCAATATATCTAATAGATACCTCCCCGGAAAGCCCTCGACGAGATGTTTCCAAAACCACCGGTTTCGGAGGTGATACCTCCCTGGTTGTGGAGAAATACGCTATAGAAAAACGCTAACACGGGAGTGCGAGAACACGGACAATTACGGTACCTACACGCCAATACATACTCAAACATGCTGGAGCAGAGAGGTGAAGGGCAGAATGAAACGAAGAGACACATGCGTGGTACCTACTTTGTCAATCGACACACGAACCCCCCGAACAACCGCCACGTCAAACACGTGACGTACCACTTCCATATCCCGCCGCATCGTCGTACGCAAAACAGCAAGCGTGAGAGGATTGAGGAGCGCACTAGCATACCTCACCCCAGCCATCGTCGTTGATCAGGAGCAACGTGGAGGCTTCATGTGGCCTGCTAAGTCGGGGAGGTTCTTCAGCAAGCGGACTATCTTCGCTTGTTCTGTGGCATGCGTTTTCTGTGCCTATGGATGGATCACGAGGTGGGTTCGTGCGTATCATACCGTGCGGCGCCACTTGCCTTCAACTTTACGTTGATCTCGCCTGAAGTTTGCACACGCACGTGCAACCTTTTTATCCAGCGAGTCGCTGCTCCAGCAGTACATGAGATAGCATTGCCAACGCTCTGCTGTGCCGTGAGCACAGAGTGGAAGGCACAACATGCCCCTGGTTTCCGGTCGCACGCATAAAATCAAGCAGGGTGTTGGTGTCGTGGTTGCAGAGGCAGCACGTCAACTGCGACGTACATCTATATGCCTGGGTAACCCGTGTTTCCTTACGGACGGAGAGTTGCCTGGTCACTGCCTCTCGTTGTGTTTTCATCCGTCGGCTATGCCGCCAAAAGTGCCAGGCGTATAAACATGCTGGCCCGGTGTGTCGTCCTTTCAACGTGCTGGCCCGGTTTCGTCCTTTCGTTGAGGCTCTGTCATCGCGATATGTAGCTCAGGCACCAGCGGGAGCGCTCTCCCCGAACACACGAAAACTTGTCAGGACGATCGCCACGGCAAGCACAACGGCGGACTAGAGCACATACTCCCATCGGACGATACTGAAGGGCAAAGTGTTACGGAGAGTTGAAAACACAGACGGCTATGCATACCACAAGCTAGTGTACCGACACGGTGTAGTCAAGCAGCGCGAGGTAGACGCAGTTGTAGCTTGGCGCCACTACAGCAGTGTAGCAACGCGAATTCATGATGCTACAGATGTACTGCTGTAGGTAAGACATGTGGGAAGAAGACGCAGAAAAAAAACAAATATTTGGGGAAGTAAACAAATATGCCTAGTACCAGCCGGTTTACTCACAGCAAAAAGACTGCTGTGGTCTCGAACGGGACTTATGTAGTCTCGTCTTCGATGTATTGGTGGAGGTAGGGAACTTTAGATAGTGCAGGCTCAAGCTCGGCCTTCTGGCCTCACAGCGACGCTTAAGAGTGAAGCGGCGGAATTGGGCCTACTCTCAAATCGACCCGATAGCGTCACCTCGCCGCGCGCGCCGCAGGGGGCGCCGCTCGGCCTCCGTCTCCGGGAGCTCGCGGGCGCCCTATATGAGCGAGACGCCGCCGCCCAGGGCTCCGGGCGCCGAGCGCCGGCCGAGCTGCCCGCGCCGGCGGAACCGCTCCAAACCACGTGGTCGCACCTGTATCGGCACCACGGATCTCTCCGATCGGGACTGTTAATGGACCGCATTTTGATTAGGCGGAACTTTTTATCATGTATTTATGGGGACTTGGAGTTATCACAGAATTCGGATCTCGGAACTGTCTATTTAGCAAAACAACACATGTCAACCTATTGTGTACTTGTTGCGAAATGGCACCAAGCACTTGCTACACCTTTGTGTGCTGGGACTGCTGTGTAACACTGCTACCTTGCAGCCAAAAGTGAGCTAAGGCTAATACTTGCCAACAATCCACAAACAGTCGCACTAATGCGATGTCCATAAAGAACACGCTCGGGGTAATGATCTACGAAGAACATTCCTTCAGCCATAGACTAGAGAAAAGACCAAGAATATTCCACGCAATCCCCAAATTTGTGGTCGATAACACATCAATCTGCAGAACGGTGTGTGTGCGTGCGAAACATTGTACTAATGCTGCTGTTGCTGCAGTCTCACGGCTAATGCTGTGGTACAAGCCACACTTACACACAGACAGGTTCGAACACATGTCCGGGTGCGCCAAGCTTCAACGCTGTGTTCAACCTAACAATAAATTGCAGTTTTTGGGAATAGTTGTGTAGACTAAGGACCATGCATGATGCTTCTCCCGACTTCGAACCTGCATCTATCGTTCTATTGCTGTACACCACCACCAACGAACCACCGTCCCACTCGGTATGCGTTTGAAGCCTGCAAACGCTACCTCACATTTACCATTTCGTATGCGCATCCACTCTCATTGACGGGGGGGGGCGGTAGCCCTCCCGTCCGCCCACGTTGCGCCGTGTTCCGGTCTAGGTACAAAGAGTAGCACCGAAGAATCGTTTCGGCCAATAGTTCAGCTCGTGGCGTTTCCGTATTGTCGTGTTCCATGAGCCGCCTTCATGCTCCACTTGTGCGGAAAAATAATAGATCACATCCCAACCACTCAAGGACGTCCCACTTGGCACGCGTTTCACCACTTTCACCTCACATTACCTTCCACTCTCAGCGGAGAGAGGTACGGCGTACGGGGGACAGGGAGGGCGGTAGCCCCCCGCGTCCACCGCCCTTGTTTGCTATGATTTTCTACTAGATGTGATAGGGCGGGTAATGAGCCGGCGGCGGCTCATTGTTGGACTTAAGCTAGGTGCACACCAGTCACACTAGTGCAACGGGCGGGACGTGCGGACGGGGGAGGCGGCCTGTTGTTTGTTTTCTGCTATGGTGCCACACTGGCGAAGAACCAAACATATCGGTATGCATACGTCTTTCCGCCGTGGGTAAGTGCTGAGATGATGCCGGGAGGAGGCAATAGAATATTGCACATGCCTCTTGGGGCGATGAGCAAGTCACACCGGGTAGCCTTTCTATGTTTAAATGTATATTTTCTAGGAAAGCAAAAAATCACACCGCCGAGAGCGTCAGCAGCAGCGTAGACATGGCATTTTGACAGATACAGATGCGGCACGTTCACAACTTTGCCCGCCACACTCACATCGTGTCAACCCTGCCAAATTTCCCACGGAGTGAGACGTAGTCTGCCTTATTTTTCCCCCCAAGCAACAGAAAAAACCGTTGACGCTCAATTTTCACGCGAGACAAGTCATCAGTAACAGTAATAGCAGGCAGACGGCCGTTCCTCAATTCACGTTCTTTCCTTTGAAAATACAAACGCGACGCGAGCAGCCTGTGATGAATCGATCCAGGACACCCTTCCCGAGAACGAACAGCAGAAGAGGGAGAGGACGCTCACGCCCTCGAACGGTCCTCTCCGTCCGTGTCCAAGGGCCCGAGCAATCGTCAGATCGTGTGCGCGGTCCTACGCTCCTGGCAGTTTTTTTAGCGTTGGACCCACGCAACCACAAACAACTCGCTAGGCTACGCGTGGCGCGCGGGTGGCTGTATCCACGGGGCGCACAGGCCGTATAGGCTCGACCCCTTGCTGTTTTTGATAGCTGGCCCACACAAGGTGTGTGGCGTTTGCCTTGTTGCTTCTGCGGGTTTGGAAACAACCGCGTGGGTGCGTACGATAGTCGGTTTTGTGTTCCTCCATTTTCTCGACAGCTCCGGGATCGGGGTGAGATATCTCCTCCGAATTTTGGGCTTAAATGCCTGTATTGCACCGCTATCTGTTGTCGGAGCACGACCAAAGCGCTGTGACGAAAATTGCCCTATTTTTCTCCCTCCTCAGAAGTGAACAGATTGTCAAATCCGTGCCCTATTGGCCTTGGTTGGGTCGAAAAGGAGCGTTATGTGGGGTCCCCGGATATCAAGCTTGGGCCTCTGCATCGCGTTAGAACAGGCCGTAAGCAGCGTCACACCCGACATCTAAACCCGATCCGTCGCAAAGCATTATTTCAGACCCCAAGGAGGGTCAACGCATTTTCTAACCCCTTTGGTCCCCCCCCCCCCCCCCCCCCCCC